GTAAGGCAATTGATGACTTTTTGCTCTCTAACAAGAATCACACGTTGTTTCTAAGCTATGCTCACCAACAAAAGGGAGTTTATTTTTCCTAAGCACTCGTTGAACAATAGTAAAAGAAGGATGACCTAATCGATTGTGCCACCTTGTCGAAGATAGCTTTGTGACACCAAGAACTTGTTTATTTGACCACCTAAAGCGAGGAATCAACGGATAGAGACCACCAACGCATCTACCTCTGTAGAGCACCCTCCTCGTTGCCTAATCCTTTATCAAAAAGAAAAAGGGGTGAAATTCAAGGAATACATGATTGTTTAAGGCAATACGATGTACGGAAAGAAGATTTTTGTTTGCATGAGGAGAGTAAAGGATCTTGCATAGATGAATAGAACGATTGGGGGTTTTGAATTCTGAATAACCAATGTGATCTATCCTCATACCTGAACCATTCGCACCATGAATTTGTTCCTGTCCACGGAACTTCCCCCGCACCGTGAGCTTCTCTAAGTCACCGGTGAGATGATCGGTCGCCCCATTGTCGACGTACCAATTTGTATCGACGCGGTATTAAGCAGCAGCTGCAACCTTTTCTTCTAATGCATCATCATCAAAACGGTACCAACAGTCCTTGGCGCTGTGCCCAAACTTACCACATATCTGGCATTGGATTGGGTCGTTGTTCCTGGCGTTGTTGCCAGGTGCAGGGCCGCCTGGACCTCCGGGACCTCCTGGGCCTCCTTGGCCGGGACGAGAGCCCTTGTTGTTGGAGTAGAAGGGGTGCCCGTTGCCTTGCCGTTTCTTGTAGCCGCCGCTGTTCTGCTTCTTGTACCCATCGCCGTTTTGCTTCTGTGGCAGAGGAGGAGGACCACCACGACGAGCAGCGAGGTTGGCAGAAGACTTGAAGCCACCGGTGCCTCCAACCCCGCCTGTGAAGAGCTCGATGCGCTGGTCGAAGTTGCAGACCGCCGAGTAGAGAAAGTCGACGGTGACCGGCTCAGTGCGGGCGTCCAGAGCTGAGACTACAGAGTTGTAGTCAAGGTCTAGCCCCGCAATGATGAAGGAGAGGAGTTCGTCCTGTTCCAGTGGCCTCCCAGCAGCGACGAGTTCGTCCGCCAGCGATCGCATCCGGCCGAAGTAGACCGACGCAGATTGCGTTCCCTTCTGAGCATTGGCCAAAGCTATGCGAATGTTATTGATGCGGGAACGAGATTGTGAGGCAAACATGTTACCCAGGGAAGTCCACATCGCGTGCGCCGTCTTGATGGAGACGACAGAAACGAGCACATCTCTCGTCAGGTTGCTGAGGATGTGCCCGAGGACCTGCTAATCCTGTCGAACCCAAGCTTCATATGCCGGGTTGGGGATGTCCTGCTCCTTGCCATCCTTGTCCTTGGCGGTGATCAGCTTCTTCGGTGCAGGGATGGAACCGTCGAGGTAGCCATATAGGCCAGCGCAAAGGAAGTGGGGGAGGATCTGAGCCCTCCAGAGGAGATAATTCTCCCTGGTTAACTTCTCCGGAACCTGAGAACCGAGGCTGGAGAGAGTAGAGGTGGAGGAGGAGGACGCCATGGATTTGTTTCGGTGGAGTTGGTTTGTCTCAGAACAAAGGGGAAGGGATCGCTCTGATACCATGTAAAGAAACGATGGGAAGCGTTCTACCCTCTCGAGAGAGGGCCGCGTGGTATTTATTGATAGAGATGGGGCATATCCCATGATCGCATACATGTCTTGGAGTACAAGGGATTAGGAGATAGAGAGGAAGTAGTTTAAGTAGATACTAATCTATCTCTAGTCTAACCAGAACTCCAACTAACAATATATACGCCAGAGATATATTTCAACACAGGGTGCTGAAGCCTATTCGCTGTCGTGAATAATCTGTGGCTGGTAGGCGTGTGGGATCTCCAAACCTGACCTGCGCCCTGTGCTGCGTTGTTTGCCCCAAAGGATGCCGCGGATGGCCACTATTCAGCACGGTCACCAACAGGTGTTTCACTGTTACCAAATATGAGGTGTCATATCAAGGAACCATCAAATATTTCTCTGTCAATGAGAATATGCGATGTAACCACAAGGAGGGCCTGCAACTTTCCTCCTGCTCCCACTCTAGGATATATGGAAACACCCGCATGATGTGGTCCAGCCAGCATTTCCTGCTCCTCAGCTGCTGCGGGGTGACAGTCATCTGCAGCCAGCGGCTCTGAGACTCACTCAGAACCCCCACTTATCACTGTTTCTGCCCCCAAATTTCTCCAACATTATACCCTGTGTCTTGGGCATCACGGTCTATGGGCACCCGGCCATCGATGACAAGGAATAATGTAGCATGCTGATGGAAGTGCACTGATCGATGCTTGGCCGATGCATCTGCCTTGTCTTGAAGAACTGGCATCCGGACAGTAGCTGTGCTTGAAAGGGGTAGAAGATTAGGCTGAGATCAGGCAACCTCTGATGAACCTGTCTTCCACAGCATAATCTGGGCTTAGATCAGTTTGAAATCACTGAACTGCGGTAAAAATAAATAATTAGAAAAACAAGATAAGGTACCAGACATTCGAACTGTACAGAAAAAAAAGCAAGAAAAGGGCAACAGAGAAAGCCAGAAACTAGCAAGTATACTAAGCAAACTAAACCCACGGTTTTAGAAAATGTGGTCTGCAGATGCACACCCATCTGATCACTGAGAGTTGCTACCATTTAATCTGAGGTTGCGTGTGAGTGGAGCATTGTCTATTTGATTCTGCATAATAGAGCAACAACCCAACATAGACTGCTTCTTGCCGCCTCATTGTAAGGCAGATGGCTACAGAAGAACAGGTAATGATTCTCCAGATTAGTATATACTCCCTCCATCCCAAAATAAGTGTCGCTGATTTAGTACAACTTTATACTAACTTACTAAATCAGCCATACTTATGGGGCAGAGGGGTATATATTATTGAAGAACTGACTCAACATAAGACTTTTAAGAACTTGACATAAATACTAATGACCATTATTTATAAAGAATTGGTGCAGATCTACCAAAATTCTGTCCAAGGAGTAAGGATATAACCATAGGTAATTACTAGCAAGGCTGTAAAAGTTATCTGTGGAAAGCAGTATATAACCAATCCATGCAACAAAAGTTGTCTAGCCTTAAAATTAATAAAGGCAGGAAGCCAGGAAATAAGCAGTGAATATGAAAGGACATAGGTCAGAGCAACAAAAGGTCTATAAAGTGATAGCCTAACATCATACAATTACATTAACCTAACTAAAAATGCATCTGATAAGTGCTAAACTTAACAAGCACCGGGTTAAAAAGTTTCATATTATCCCTAACATGCTTATCTACTGGAAAAAAATAAGTCTATCATTTCTGCTAACTATGTCCCTGAAATGATTAATTCTACTCTACACCTTGAGTGATCAGCATACTGCAAATTACACTATCTGCTGGATACTGGTAGATGCAATGGAACTACTCTGATTAACACAAGAAAGCAGGACTAGGACCTCTGATTTTGCACACAGAATCTTGAAAACCTGCTAGAAAAAGCAATCAGGTTTGGAGAGAGACGAAGATCCCACAGATGAGGGCTAATGTTTTCAATTCCGTTGGTTGGCGA